CGAACGGATCTCCTGAAACTTGACTACTTAAAAAACAAAAGAAGAGGCTAGCACAGCCCTTCTCATTGCCCAGCCAGCCCATGCCTTTCTTTTCACAGAGGAAACCATATTTTTGATGTAGTCATTCCTATTTTTGTAGGTAAAGTCCGCAGGGTGTACCTATTCTCGGTACTTTATTTTACCAGGATATTAATCTGTGGCCTAGACAATAACATTGAAAACTTAAAATATGCAAGAGGCAGTCCAAACCCAAATACCCAGTGTGAGTTATTGGTGTTTAATTACTGAGGCAGTTAAACAGTGCTGTAAACGAGTTCAGCTTTGATTGCAGCCATAACCCTTGCAGTTTGGAATTGAAAGAAGGGATGATAGAAGGTGGCAATATAACATGAAGATGACCATGAGTTGATTTTAATTGGTAAACTGGCATATACAGTGATAACTATTTGGTATGTCCACTGCATCGGAATCCTAGGAAAGTGCATAGAATTATGGGAGCATATAATTGGTGTACTAAACTCATTTTCTTATGTTATCCCAGCTGGCATCTTCAGGTTATTAAAAGCCTTTAAAAACCAGTCATCTTCAAAGAGATCTAATTGTCAATATGGTCTTTATACATTATTCCTCTTTGCACAGAGCAGAAGAGAAGTACACAGGCACTAGAATCTGCACAGATTTTTCTGGACATATCTTTCTTATTTCAAGTTCAAGAATGATCAGTAAATGTTAATGAGGATAAAAACCATTCTTTAGATCTTGGTTTCCTCATTCAACGCATAGGGTGACCAACCCATAAAGTGATAAATTAATATTATAACCTGTACTCATTAAAAACTTAAGGCTATATTATATTATATAAAATGTAATATATAATTATATTATATATAGTAATATATATAACACTATTTAAATAATATATATTATATATTATGTAAAAACTTACAGGTTATATTATAACCTGTACTCTTAAAAACTTAGCTCATTAGTTCAAGGAAGTTCTGTAATCTTTTTGTGCACAGGTGGCTCTATAGCAAGGACTGTTACCCAAGGTATAAATGATGTATCAGAAAGACAAAAAATGGGCTTAGGTTCTGACATTGTTGGATGAGCGAGTATATGTTGTTTCACCTACTTATTTTGATTAGACAATCCAGGGACACTTCTAGAAAGGTTTTCACTCTCTAACCCACCCCCTGTCCACCACCACATACCCCTCAAGGAGACTTTTCCCTACAGGAGAAATAGGATTAAGAGAACAAAACAGAAATTAAAACACTGCCCCCCACCGTATGGCATTCTAGAATAGGAAGAGAAATCCCCAACATGGAAGAGTATGAAATCAGAAGATAAGATACAAGGAAAAGTAATGTGGTACCAGCCTAGCATGAATGATTATTAAAGATTCACTACAGGTTTATCATATAGAAAATCTGTCTGTGTTGCTTTAGGCCATATCACCCAGGAGTACAGATAATAGTGAATTGAAAGTGATTAATGGTGTGTATCACACCCTACAGTATTGGGGCTCTCCATCTCTCAAGGTTCTTGTCCTGAGGATGTGACCACTCAGTCTGCAGTGACTCCTTCAGCCTCTGCTGGTCATACTGGTAGGCAGGTGCTTTGCCTCTGGTCATAGCAATGCTTCTTTCTATTGGGCTGCTGCATCCTGTTGTGTGCTACTGACACTCTGGAATCCCTGTGCTCTTGGGGGCATTTAATTCACTGAAACTATATTAAGTCCATGCCTTTTGTGTCCACTCATGTCCTTAGCTGAGAACATGAACCCATGGTAGGCTGGAGTAGGAGACAAATCCAAGAGGCAGACTCCATGCTGAGCTTGGAGTTATCCAGACACTGAAATGGCCTCAACTCCCAATAGGAAGAATTTTTTACTCAGAGGACTCTCATGTAAACAGACCACATCTCACTGGTCTTTAAGACATGTCTGAATCCCAGATGTGGTGAAGCATAGGCTGCAACTGGAGTCTGACCTGAGTATTTGACCTCCAGGTCTTTTTAGCACTCGATGATGAAACCATTTTCTCCCCAAATTCTGACCTAATCTCTGAATCACTGATCACTAGCTTGGTCCTAACTGGGTATAATACAACACATTGAAACTCAGCCATTCTTCCCTTATGAAATCTCATGGATAACTCTGACTCTATATTTCAAATTTCTCCTTTCTCTCCCTCCCTTTCTCTATAACTAGAGTTATGTGTGTGTGTGTGTGTGTGTATATATATATATACACATATATATATAGACAGAGGAGCCTGGCAAGATACAGTCCATACGGTTGCAAGGAGTCAGACATGACTGAAGCGACTTAGCATGCAGCTCTGTTAAAAAAAGTATTGTGGTAGCCAAGGTTATAATATTTTTCAATATATGCATAATTTATTTGTAAAACAAAGCACTTATTCACTGTTATTTAGCTACAATGTTAGGAAACTGCCATTGCACATACTCTAGTGTGAAATTTCAGTAAATACTTTTCTATGTGCAGGATTATTTTAAGCCCACTACATTTTCATGTTATTGCTGCAATTATAAGACATCAGCTACCAATTATGATAATGTTTTATTTACTTTATATTTCAAGAAAAAAAGCCACTAAGTTAAAATTATCTACTATATCTCAATTACATTCTAATAAAATATTCACTAATATCTTACAGGATAAAAATCTGGAATAAATCAGTTTAGTTAATAATCTTGATCATTTTAAGATGAAATAACCCTTTTTTTCCTCAAATTTAAATACTTCATATTTTTAGTATGTTTGTGAGCTAAAAATAAAAAAGCACGGCAAATTCCAAGACGATGTGTTTTCCTTATTCTAAGGAAAGAATTAAGCCTGAACATAGGGCAGGACTTTTAGAAAGTAGACAGCTATTGATTTCGGCTGCTTCAGTACTGGACATGTCACATCACATAGCTCTTGCCATCATATTTAGTCCATTCTGAGCTTTGCTATTTTTCTGCCTGCCTGCCCCTTCCATCTTTTAGCAATGATGATAATTATAAAATAGTAAAAATATAAAACATAAAACAGTAAAATATTTATATGGAATGTCTACATAACTAAACGTGATTAGAGTAAAAAAGCCTTAATATTTTTTATGGAAATGCTTATAAAATATATATAAAATATAAAAAATAACATAGCTGACTCACTTTTTTATACAGCAGAAACTAACACAACACTGTAAAGCAATTATACTTCAATAATAAAGAAAAAAACAACAAAATCTATAAAAGTAAATATAAAAATAAATAAATAAAATATAATTATATATCACCATATTTTTTAACATTTTCTTAATGAATAACTGTTTTGAGTTATAGAACGCTAAAGCTTTTGGGGTTGATTTAGTCATTCAATCATTCATTCATCCATTTGACAAGTATCTATCGAGTGCTACTATGCTCCAAGAACTGTGAAAGGCAGAAGAGCTAGAACAGTGAACAAAGTATATAAAAAGTACTGCCCTGGTTCTAGGCTTCTGTAGCATGTTTATCTCCACAGCAAACAGACCCTGACTGCTGTGGTTTTGATTCCCCTGTCTTCTCCTCTGTTGTCTGCTGTCACCTCACTGACACCATGGCTCTCTTGGTCTGGGTCATCATGGCAGGTCTTTTCCTAAGCATCTCTCCAAGCCAATGAGAAACTATATCCCTGGATGGAGTCCAAGCAGCTCACCTTATGTTTGCTGCCCACGTGCTGCTCCCTGACTTTCCTAGCAGTTCCCTCATCCCTGCTCTGAGTTTAGGGTTTTCCCTTGTTTTCTTTTTTTAAGCAGTATGACTGAACCCTAATGATCTGATTCAATCATGAGGCCCAAAGGTCTCCAGGCCCCTTTTCCTGGGAAGACAAAAATGCATTTATATTCAAATGACACGCTCAAGAGCAGCCACCATCAAGTGTTACTACGAATACATATTACATTTTCTTTCTTATGATTGTAGTAACTTAGCTGATAATTCTCTGAAGTGAAGTGAAAGTCGCTCAATCGTGTCCGACTCTTTGCAACCCCATGGACTATACAGTCCACGGAATTCTCCAGGCCAGAATACTGGAGTGGGTAGCCTTTCTCTTCTCCCCCAGGGATCAAACCCAGGTCTCCTGCATTGCAGGTGGATTCTTTACCAGCTGAGCCACAAAGGAAGCCCGATAATTCTCTGGACCTCTGCAAAATCTGAAAAAGACAGACACCTCAACTTCCCAAAGGAGGGAAAATCAGGGTGCCCATACTCCCCTGTTTTGACCACTTAGAAGTGCAGGGAGACGAGCAAGAATCTTGACCTGCCTTGAAGGGAAGGGGGGTGACCGAGGGGAAAGGAACATCTGAGACTCATGTCAGAGCTGGAAGGGGGTCCTGCTGGGTAGCAGCGTAGCTGTGTGGTTAGGGGACTCCAGTTCTAAGGCCAGATTGCTTGACTGTACCCCTTACAGTCGTTTGACATTGGCCTGTCTGCTCAATATCTTTGTGCTTCAGTTTACTCATCTGTAAAATAGTACCTACTTCATAGGAGTATGAGACTCAGATTAATACAGATAGAACGCTTTGTATTGTACCTGGTCCATAGTAAGCAATTAGTAAATGGTAGCTACTATTCTCCTAATCATTTATTTACTTATTTTTACAGATGAAGATATACACCCTTAGATTTTAAGTGAACAGAAAGTTAGAGGTAAGACAAATGCCAAAATCAGGTATCCCGATTCTCATCATATTACACAGATTTTTTTTTCCTGATATCCTGCATACTTAAAAAAGGAAAGAAAGAAATTATGAATCATTTAAATGATTAGGAATGGGCCATTCAGTTATACATAAATTCCTTTTCCCCTCTAAAACTGAAATATGCAAATGGGCCTCACCCAGTTCTATTTCCCCAACATCCAGTGGGCAGGACTAGTCGTAGAGGCAAGAGACAAAGGGCCCAAAAGCCCTGGGAAGTTTAACTTTATGCACTATTTGCTTCCTTACCTTAAACTTGTCAACTTCAGCTTTTGAACATGTTGCATGATAAGATAGCACCTGGTTCAGGGAAAAAAAAAAAACCTTCAATAACTAGACATGACTTGATTTTCTGAAATTCTCCTGGCACAAAACTAAACTTTGTTCAAGTACACCAGCTTGACATAATAGTGGTGCTAATATATGATGAGAAATTCCCAGTAACCATCTGTGATACAAATTATCTCCTGTGTAGCTACAGTGAAATCTATTACAATGAGGAATGGAGTGACAGTCCATGTTAAAGGCTACATATTTTATACCAGGATGTTTTTATAAGTAGTTACTTTACCCAAAAGACATGATGTGGTTCAAGACCACAGTTCCCAAGTGTGAATATTTCTCCCATGAAATGCTTTGAAATGCAAATAAATTAAAAGGTATGTGTGTGTGTGTGCACATGTATGTATGTGCATATTTGTGTGTGTGTGTCTATGTGTGTGTCCTGCGGCAGACACTGTAACTTGCTGACTCAACTTCCATGTCTGGTCTATTCTCATTTGCCTGCTTTTGTTCTCTAGGAAAGATTATATTGTTATTCCCAGCCATCTGCAATTTTCTTTTTTCATTGGCCACACCCTGTTGCATGTGGGATCTTAGTTTCCTGACCAGGAATTGAACCCACGTCCCCTGCATTGGAAGACAGATTCCTAACCACTGGACTATAAGGGAAGCCCCCTGCAATGTTTTTTGTAAGAGGATTATATTTCCCTGTTTCATGGACATCAACCTTAGTATATGATTTATTTTAGTCAACGGATGGTGGAGGAAAGTGAAGATGCCACCTTTGAGAACAGCCTTTAAGAGCCATCATGTGGTTCTGCCATATTCTTTCCCTCCATCATGGGAAGGGCATGGCCCTGAGAGGTGCTGCCCCTCTCAGCCTGGGTCCCCAGGTGAAGGAGATGCATGGAGCTAGCCAACACACTGCTGATGCTGTGTCAAATGAGCAAGAAATCAACTTTCGTGCTTTATCATCACATCATAACTTACTGATAGAGTTTGAAAATCAAAAACTCAATTGGCAGGCTCCCCACCACTAGGGGTGGTCATGTGGGGTGGCCATGTGACATTCCTCTGGTCAATGAAATATACGTGGGAGTGTTGGGTCTGCCTGTATCCTTTCTTTGTTTCCCCTGGAAAATGGCTATAAGGCCTAGACAGGCAGCAAAATCTGTCATCTATGAGGTTATGGTTATAAGTGTGAATAGGTGCCTTGTTATAAATCTAGAGCAGAAAGGGAAAGAGAAATGAAGCTGACCCTGGTCTGCCCTGTTCCAGACTTATTGTTCTGTAGAACAAATAAACTCACATTTCCTTGAGTCAGTATTGGATGTTACGAGACATATGAACACATTCATGCACACACAAACACAATGTATATATTATACATATGCTACCAGTTCCATCCTTAATCTATACAAATATCAAATAAATCTGAGAAAGGTTAAATCCCTCAACTACAGCTTTAGAGAATCTCAGTGCATATTTTGCTCTGAAAAGTAAAGTAATACATTTCTTGTGATACTGACAGTCCCTTGTTGGTGAGCAGGGCCGTATCATCAGCCAGGAAGAGTACCTTGCTCACGCAGGAGCAGGCCCTTTGGTAAGCTGCAGTCTAGGTGGAGGCGACATTGTCCCCTCAAAGAGTCCCTAGAAGGGCAACAAGCCAGCAAAGCAGATTCCTTGGGACAAGAGAGCCTTGCATCCTGCCATAGCATGCTCTGATTTTATCCTTCCAAGCAGTTTCTGCTGTTTGGTCCTAAAGGGTTCCCTGAAATGCATCAGGAAGGTGATGGTGTGTCGTTGCTCCAGTTACCCTCAGGATGTGCTTTACACGCGGAGCACAGCGATGAGAACCTAGTAACGTCTGTCCCCCTTTCATGTACAGCATCATTAGCTACCACGCAACTGACCAGACAGAAATACACAACAGCGATCTTGCTTAGCTCCTAGCTTCTCACGGTAGTAAAGCCTCTGATCAAACGTGACCACCTCACTCTTCCTAATGAGCATCTACAAAGGGGGCACGCAGGACTTTTCCTCATCACCTGTGGTCAGGGATCACGTCCATTTTACTCCTCAAACTGCATCAGCTTTGGTTGTTCCCTCATAATTTCACTGAAACAGCTTGTATGAAGGTTTTTGATTTCTTGCTATCAGATCCAAATCTCTCTGGACAGATCTGCAAATGTATTTCGCAGCAACACTGAATGCAGGTGATTGCTCTTGCCGTTTTTGAAGAGGGTCTTCTTGACACCACACTATTTTGGTTGTCATACCGCATTCCTGCCTGTTCTTTCTCTGTGTTCTTTTAGCCTGCCTCCTCTATTTGAACTCTAAATGGAAACATTTACTCAGTCTCTTCTTCAGTGATGTCACACATGCTCATGACCTTATATATCATCTATAGGTTGACAACTTTCAAATTTAGCCCTAATCTCTCCTTGAGCTTCAAACTCACATATCCTGCTGTTTACGTCACTAACTTCCAACTCGGTTGACTCAGTAGCATCTCAAATTTAACACACCTAAACGTGCCCACTGATTTTCCCATCGTAGTAGGCAGAATGGTGCTCCTCATCCCCTCATGATGTCCACATCCCGGTCCCTGAAACGTGCACATATTTATGTTACATGGCAAGGGGGAATTTAGGTGCCAGTGGATTTAAGGACACTCATCAGCTAATCTGTAGATAGGAAGATGATCCTGGATTATCTAGGTGAACATAATGTAGTCACAGGAGTCTTTATAAGTCAAAGGAGAAAGCAGGAGAGTCAGAATCAGTGATGTGACACGAGAAATACTGACGCTCCATTGCTAACTCTAAAGACGGAAGGGAGACATGAGCCCACAAATGCAGGAAGCCTCTAGAAACTAGAAAAGGCAAGGAAACAGATTGTCCCCCAGAGTCTCCCCTAGAAGAAACACATCCTACTCACACTTTGATTTTAGCTCAAGGAGAGCCATTTCAGACTTCTGACCTCCAGAACTTCAAAATAATAAAGTTCTGTCTGTTGTTTTAACCCACAAAGTTTGTGCTAACTTGCTATAGGAGCCAGGGGAAATGGATGTCACCAATCTCTTTTGCTTCCAGTCTTCCCAGCAACATGATGAAACTTCATCCAATCAATTATTTAAAGTAGAAAAACCTGAGGGTGATCCTTGATTTTTTTTTTTCCCCCTCCCTCTTTCCCTCACACTGAATCCAGCAGAACAATGTGTCACTTCCACTCCTGTACCCTGACTCTTTCCTGTTTCACCACCACTACCCAGGTCCAGTTCGCCATCCTCTCCTACCTGGGCCCTGACAATAATCTTTCTACCCTGACCCCTTCTGTTCTCTTTGGCATACATCAGCCAGAGTGATACCTAAGAAATATAAATCTGATCTTGCCATCCTCCAGCTGAAAACTCATCAGTCATCAGTGACTCCGGTTACACTTGGAATAACATCCAATTCCAGACAGTGACCTGACAGGTCCTTGCCCTGTGGCCCCTGGCGCCCTCTCAAATCACACTGCATGCACTGCACTCTCTTCTATATATTCTCTGGACATGCTCGCCTCCTTTTTGGTTTTCTATATACCAAGCTCTTTTCCATCTTACAGCCTTACTTGCCCTTATCTCCTGGTTGATATTTTCATCCTTCTGAAATTAAGTTAAATGTTACCTCTTCAGTAAGGTCTTCAATCAGTGCCTTGAGAAACCACCTCACTCACCATTACTCTGTATTCACAGGCTGTTTTCTTCACACCACTTATCACAGTTGGAGTTATGTGTTAGCTTGTTTGTCACCTGCCTCCCCCTCTAGACTGCAAGCACCATGAAGGCAAGGATCAGAGCTGGTTTTGGTTGCCAATGGATACCCTGTCCCTAGAAGAATGCCTGATACTTAGCTGGCACTCAGCAAATATTTAATGAATCATGCAATAGAAAATAATCTTAAAAGAAAAGAATCTATTTCTCATCTCATTTGCTTCTCTGCTTGTATTTATGTCTTTCCCTCAACAAAATCATGATATGTCTTAGAGCATAAACTGAACAGTGTAGGTAGGGTTGCCAGTTTTAAGAAATAAAAATACAGGAGACCCCATTGAATTTGAATTTCAGATAAATCACTAATATCTGCACTAGTTGAGACATAGTTATACTGAGAACATTATTTGTTGTTGATCTAAAGTTCAAATTCAACTGGCTGTCTTTCTGTTTTTACCCAGTAACCTTACTTCTCCTCTCTTGAAATTAAAAAGTCTGAAAACAAATATGGAAAACTTGAGCTACATTCCAAAACTTTTTCATATTTCTCACTCAACCCCTCCCAGTGACTTTTTCTTCCCAGTATTTTATCTGGCAAACCTACCAAATATCTCAAGTCTAGAGTATTTTCAGCAAAATCAAATAACCTCAATAATCTAAGATCTGAGACTAACCTATGGATGCCACTGAAGGAACTATAATCAGATCAAAGTAATTCCTGATTACTTATAGCATAACCAGTATTCCAAAGAGAATCATTGTGTGTGTGTGTGTGTGTGTGTGTGTGTGTGCACGCGCACATGCAGGTGTGACCATATGGCACAGCTGATGACTAAAAATCATGCAAGTTTCGGTGGTAGAGAATAAAAAACAAGCTAAAGAATTCATTTTTTAAGCTACTATTGTTGTTAAACCCTTTTGGATAAGTTAAGGTTTCCTCCATGTTTCTAGAGCACATTAACTTTAAAAGAATCCCTTAAGCTATTTATTTCATACCAAGGAGCTAGAGATACTATTTATTTCTGAGTAATAATATAGTTGATAGAATAAAAAAGGTTTAAATGAATGTACTGTAATGGTTTTGAAGAAAGAAGCATTTGCAAATCTTATATATACACTTTCTCTATGAAGAACATTGTTAGTTTATGAGAGTTTAGCCATTACATACACACTCACAAGATTTTTTTGACAGCTAAATCGAATTTGTATAAAGTTTACTTACAAAAGTAAACAGCTGACCCACAGAGCACTTAACAAACAT